TTTTGTAGTTTACACCAAAGCATGAGAAGAAGGTAAGTGCCTAGATTTACCAAAGTAGACCAGATGCCTCCAAGTGACATAGCACAGCTGGCTCTCTGGTTTCTGCAGCCTTGGATTCAACCAACCACAGATCGAAAACAGTCAGGAAAAAAAAGTGGAAGGTTTGTGTCTGTACTGAACATGTATAGGCTACTTTTTTGGTTCTTATACCCCCAACTATTTACATTGTATTAGATGCCATAAGCAACCTAGAAATGATTTAAAGTACATGGGAAGATGTGCCTAGGTTATATGCAAATACTGTGTCATTTTATATCATGGACTTGAGCACCTGTGGATTTTGGTATCTATAGTGGTCCTGGAACCAATTCCCTAGATACTGAGAGATGAAGTACAAACTTCATAAGGAAAACTAGCTAGCTAACACGAGCTTAAGAGAAGCCTGCACAGAGCCAGTAGTTATTACAAAGAATGAAATCAGTGAGATATGCTATCAAGTCTGCCAAAGGCAATATTGCTAGCGGAAAGATTTTCATTGCCGATTTAACCAAACACATACACCAAGCTCTAAAGAGTCAGGGACTGTAATTCACCTGCTTAGCAAGACCACTGCCTATCATCAAAATTTAAGCACTTCATAGGGAGTTAGATACTTTTTTTTTTTTAATTAAACAAAATTCGAGTCAGGTATATTCCTAACTTGCTAGTGCTTGCCAAGTAAAAGCAAAATCAGCAGCACAGCAGGACTTTAACTATTGAATTGCATCAAAGTTTCTGATCTCCATAACCAGTAGAGAGAGACTCACTACCACCACAGGCAAGAGCTGCCTTGAGAAAGGAAATCCACACATGGCCTGGGGCAGCGGTGCTTCAACTTTCCCAGCAAAATGCTCCCAACTGAGGAGTGCGGACTCCTAGCCCTAGGTTCTACAGAAACCCTGATGTCTCAAGTTTTATCTTTAAAATTCCCTAAAATGAATGTAATTTAATGGTAGTGTAATATATTTCCAAGTTTATTTTAATAATAGCCACCATTTACTTGAATGGTAATTACTTGGCGGGCACTGTGCTAAGAATTTTACTTAAATTATCTTATTTACTTCTGACAAAGACTCTCTCCTTTGACCAAAACTTTAGGCAGGCTTCTCTGCCTCACTAGGCCTGACCTTGGGCTTCTCTGTCCCCGCTGAATCCAGTTGGAGCAAGAATCTTGGTATATCCGTTTAGCAAAAGTCCCCCACCCTCCAATATCTTACAACCTGGCAAGAATCCTGTCTAGTCAGTGTAGCCAGAAACGCTTCCTCTTAGTAATTTTCCTCCCCCTGACCCCACCCCGCTCCTTGGTTATATATCCCCAAATTGTTCTTGCTGAAGTCGGAGTGTCTGCCCTTCTGCAAGGCCCTATTGCACATCTACCACCACGGCCTTCCCTTGAATAAAGGCTGCCTTACCATCCTTTTTTTCTTTTTAACTTTTTTTTTTTTTTAAAAGGAGGGGGTAGTGAAGAGGGACGGTCAGTTTCCTTGGGTTTTTGTCGTCGTTGTTGTTGAGACAGAGTCTCCCTCTATCGCCCTGAGTAGAGTGCAGTGGCATCATCATAGCTCACTGCAACCTCCAAGTCCTTGGGCTCAAGCCATCCTCCTGCCTAGGCCTCTAGAGTAGCTGGCACTACAGGCATGCACCACAACGCATAGCTAATTTTTTCTATTTTTAGTAGAGATGGGGTCTCACACTTACTCACGCTGGTTTTGAAGTCCTGAGCTCAAGCAATCCTCCAGCCTTGGCCTCCCTAGCACTCCTCTAGAGTGCTAGGATCACAGGCCTGAACCACTGCACCCAACCCTGCCTTACCATCTTTAACAGTGTTTGGATACATTTTTCTTACTACTTCTTATAATAACAGGCACTATTTCTACTAATATCACCATTTTACAAATGAGGAAACTTCAGCTCAGAGAAGTTAAGAAACTTCCTCAAGGTTATAAAGTTAATTAGTGGTGGAGATGAGATTCAAGATCACATAACTTTCTAATTATCTTTATCTGCTATATTACACTATAATGTTTTAAATCACTTTTAGTTAAATTAGTTAACTCTAGTCAGGGGTCAGCAAACCTTTTTTGTAAAGGGCCAAATAGCAAATATTTCAGGCCTGCAGAGCACCTATAGTCTTGGCCAGCTATAACTACTCAATTCTGCCATTGTAGTAGACAATACATAACCAAATGTGCTGACCTGTGTTCCAATAACACTTTATTTACTAAAACAGGTGGCAACCTAGTTTTGGGCCATAGTTTGCCAACCCTGGATATAACTAAAATTCACGTTCCAGACAGATATGTCGTATTTATCCTGTGGCTTTGCATAATCTCCTACTCTAGTTTGGGAAGAACAGGTCTAAAGAAAACAGATTAAAAAAAAAAAGAAGCCAATACCAAAAGGTAAGGAAAAGGGACTTAATTTTTCTTTTATTGCTTACTAACCAATCTAATAACAACAACAGGGGACATATGTCACCCTCCGTTCAGTCGTAGTCGTGGGTTCTCTGACTTTACTGGGCCCCACGGATCTTGTCTTTGGACCCCTCTCAGTCTTCCGCATCCTTCTCTTCCTCCAGCGTGAGTCCCTCCATCTAGGTGGTTAGGCGCTATCTTTCCACCCAGCTGGGATCCTATCCTCATAGCCAAGGGAACTTTCTAATTATCCCTTCTATATTTTTTATGTCATATCTCTGTCTTTGGTCATGCTTGAAAATTTGTATCACTCTCTCTGTTAACTGGTTCCAACAGATTCTCCAAGAAATGCTTTACTGCATTCCTTGTTCAAAATGATCCTTTGATTCACCCTACAAAACATCATTTCTAAACATGCCACCTCTACTTGTACATTCTGCTTCAGCTGTTGACTCACCTATTTCAAATATTACAACACTCACAAAAGGATTAAGAAGAGAATTGCTTAGGAATTCAATCCTTGTCACTGGATCTAACTGGTGACTGGCAAAGGTGAAGACTGATTTTAGAGATTTAGCTTTGTTTTTTCATGTTCTGAATGATGAGAGGAAAGGGTAATCTTCCCTTTCAGACAGAACTGGAGGGAAAAGGTTATTCTATTAATAAATATAATGTTAATAACTTTGGGTATCAAAATTAAGAAGATGAGGGAGAAAAAAACTGGGGGGAATACTAAAATGTTTATATGTACTAAAATGATGTACAGAAAATAAAATGGAATATGAATGCTATTACATATTCTTGTTAAGAACGTCTCTGATAAGTGCATTACAAGTAATTTAATGGAAAATAAGATATTCAAAATATTAATTTTTTTGCATGTTACCAAGATCTTTACTGAGACACTTAGTAGGAAGAAAACCAGAAACATATACTTAAGTACAATTTGGTATTTTTTCACTATTCTTAAGTGCTGTTCTTTTCCCACTCATCCTAGTGTCCCCTAACTGTGTTCGCATTGCCTCCCTCGTCTCTCCTCTGGTGGCAATTGTATCTTATCTGATAACAAAGAATCCTCACTATGATTTCCTCCCTTCATTTTTAAAGAAACTTGACAAGGTTCCCTCGTTCTATTATTTTTTTTTTGTCTTTATGTTGTAGATGTTTGTGATTTACTTCTCTCAAGTCAGCTAGTAGTAATATACTTCAATTTTTAAAAAACTGTCTTAACAAAAGAAAATCTGAAAATGCTATTTGAAGAATCTGCCTCTCTTATGAAAGAATATTATCAACAACATGTAAGTTAATTTTAAACAAGCATTCAGAGTGGTTTCAATGCTTAGTGAGAGCACTGAGTAAAAGAATATGGTCACCAGTGGGAGTTAATGTCTTTAAAAAAAAAAATCACACACACACAGAAAATTTGATAGCTAAATAAATATGGTGCATACTCCCAGGAAATGCACAGTGCACATTCACACATTAGAGACTCTGAGAAAATCTACACAAAGAAATGTATTTAACTTTCAAACAGTATCCTCTAAACTTATCTGATCGACCTTTGAAACTCTTATTCCCAACACCTATTACCACCTTTTATAACTATTTCATGGAAAGAAATAGTTTGGAAAGCTTTTGGAGAATTACTTACTCATTTATTAAATTTAAAATTTTAGCCACATCCTTATGAATTTCTTCATATTCCTTTTGAAAATTCCTAATATTGTAATGTTAATACAACTGAATATATCCGCATTAATAAATGCTACAACAAAATATAAGAAGCTATGATTTGAAACTATTCATCAGTGAACATTATAAATTTACCATGATCATGGTAGAGCCTCACCCTGGTCTTGTCACTAGGAGGGTGACTTTGGGTGGGATAAAGCGATTTAAAGCTCTGAGCTTCAATTCTCTTGTGTCTAAAGGGGGCCAGACTTTCCCTTTCTACCCAACTGGTATATTTTCAGAATCGGGTATTCAAGACCAGAATCAAAAATTTTTTGTAGCACAGTTTATAAAAATATAAAAAGTATTATAAAAATACATTATTTCAAATAGAGCATCGATTTCCTTTTTAGAACTCTAAATGCTACTGTAATTTCTTCTCTTTATGAACTCTCTAGATTACTAGATTACTGTCTTACCATTACTAAATATCCCATTTTACTTAGACTGAAAATTAATTTTTGTTCAACCATCACATCATAATAATGCACCATCAAACTGTTTGGAAAACACGGCACAAAAATAAGTAAGAAAAACAGAAAGCGTTGTTTTAAAAAAGACACATTACAAAGTAGTTTGCGAGATGCTACCTTACTCTGGGCTCCATTCCGAACTCATCTGCGGCAGCCCTTCAGGCCCAGTGAATAAAGACAGTAGGGCTCTATATTCTTTGAGTCCTTCATTAAACTATTGATCCCTTTAGCATTATCCATAATGTTCCAGCAGCTCAGCACGTCAACTGGTAAAGTGCTAGTCTCTCTCTCCTTTCAATAACTTCCACACTTTATGGAGAGGAAGTCACAATGATTTATTTACCTGACATTTTCCAGTCCGGATGTCGTACAGGGCCACTGAACCATGGCGAGCTCCAACTGCTATTCTGTGATTCCGCTCATAATAGCTGACCATGTAGAACCTGCATTGAACATTTTAACAACAACAACAAAAACAAAAAGCCAGGTGAGATGACCTGCACATGGAAGTGGACAGCAACACGTTTCAAAGATTAAAGCCAGCTCTGATAGAAATTTCTAAATAAATATACTGATAATACACATATTAAGACCTTTCAAAAATGTTTCAGTAATTCTTCAAAATCAACTGGAAAAAAAGTGATGTTCACTTAGGTCTCTTAATAATTATATTCAACAGAAAACAATTTATAATCACAAACACCCCTGAATTTTTGGGAAAAGAAATAGGGTCAAACACACAAAGATAAAACACAAAACCCAGTTTTGCTACAGTGAATGTTATGCAAACATTTCTATTTGAACAGAAATGTAAAAGATGAAAAGCCTTACATAGTCAATCTAATTATGTTCTTGTGGTTTATTACGGTATTAAGGAGTGAAACATACTTTCTCACAGATCATAAAAAGGCTACATAAATTTATGCTTCAGTTCATATCAGTAACTTAGAATAAAATTAGAAAGCTATCCACCAGAAAAAAAAATTATCCTGCAAATTCCTTTAATTTTCTATATTTACCGGTTTATCTAAATGATACTTGTGGCTATAGGCAGTATGAATAAGCATATTTGGTACTTATTTGGCATTGCATAAAAACAGGATTTAGGGAGGACAGTTTGAAGGTTATAAGAGGTTGATTTATTGTTTTTTCCTAGATTAATTTTCATGACTGGATTAAGTTTTTGAATTTCTGATCTATGCTTTATCAGATACTGATTTCAGATCCATATGGCTAGGGCCTGAAGATAAAAATAAAAGTTATTAGAAGTGTAAATAAGGCACAATTTATATCTGCAAAGAGTTTCAAGTACAAGGTGTGTCCAGAAAGTATCCAGTCATGTAATAATATGAAAAATAGAGACATCTATTGAAGAAGATACAAGAAACCTTGCATATAGGACAATGATGCCTCAGTCCCCTTCAAAGCAGGCACCTTGGGACCTCGCACAGTTCTCCCAGCGTGTCTTAACCTAACCCATACACGGTCAGCATCCTCAGGTGTTCTGCTTGTTGCAGGCCTTCCAGAATGTGGATCACTTTCAACAGATTCCTGATCATCTTTGAAGCATCTGCACCACACTTTCATTTGCCCTGTACTCATTGCATCCTCCCCCGAGGCCTTCTGAATCATCCAAATAGTTTCCGTGGAGGAATGTTCAAGCTTAATGCAAAATTTAATGCAGATTCATTGCTCTACTCACTCAGTCATTTAGAATGTGACGGCCACACAGCATACATGCTCACTCAAGGCATCTAGTGCCCCACTCACTAGTACAGTGACGTCATGATTGTTCACGTATGCACATTCCAGTCCACTCTCCTTGGCTGCCAGGTTACATGGTGCAAACCGTTCTCCTTATGTTAACAATGGCTGGATTCTTTCCCCTTATCTAGTTCTATTGTCTCAGTGTGAGTGGCCCAGATAATAACTGGCCTACCCTAAATATTCACGAGGATTTTGCATCCATTCTACAACACATTCTTTGCCCCTTCTCCCTTTGGTTCCATACTACCAACCTAACTTTTCTGTTAAAAGGGGAAGGGGATGTAAGACACATCAGAAAAAAATCTCATCTAATGCTTTCTGGAGGTAGATATAGAGTAAAAACTACTAGGGCATGGGGCAGAATTTCTGAAATTCTAGTAAGGGATGCTGAGAGAGACAAAATGTTTGTATGTGGGAGCATTCTGAAACTAGGGTCCTCTGACAGTCATTTTGGCATTAACAGACACTATGACATTTATACATATCTCCTAAATCTAGAATATGAATTATTAAGTTTTAAAATCTTTTTTGTTATTTATTACCAAGTAATAGATTAAACAATATTTTTGTCCCATCTGTAAGTTTTACCCGCTGACCAACCTCTTCTCTTTCAGTTACTAATGCTTCATTTTTAATAACATGGAAGCCACCACTTTAGAATGTCCTGCAGGATGGTTTTGCTGTGCTCAGGAATGGCACTGTCCTCTTTGTATATTGGTTTAGGAACAGAAGGATACAGAAAGCTCCGGAAACATTTCATCTCCCCCCCACTATTAAGTGGCAAGTAAAAAGTTACTTTCTCAGAGCTTTTCCTCTCCAAAGCAGCATATTATTCTACCTCAGTAGAGAGTGGTATCAGCATACAAAACCTACCATTCCTACACTTGAAAATGAAAATGACTTAGAAGGGTTTAAAAACATTTACTATTCTGTTATTCAATAATTCCAGTCACCTAAGTATTGGCCATCACTGTATACACCTATATTTACATCTATATCTATACCCACATATCATTTATGTCCTAGGAGAGTAACCCAGAATATAATATCTGACAAATGTTCCAACAAATATTCTGTGCAGGTTAATTGCCACAAGGGGAAAATGCAGTGGTATTTTGTTTTACCTATTATTTGCACAGATTTAACAACTATATTGCCAAAATCCTTGTGCAAAACTGAATATAATTACCCCCAAAATAACTGTCTTCAAAATGAAAAGTAGGTAAAATATACACATTGACAAAACCTTAGTGAAACTAGAATCTGAAGATTCTATGCTCTAGATATCAACCTCATCCTTCTATATCATCTACAAACACTATTATTTATGGGAGAAAAAAAAGATCAAACCTATTCTTGGTATCAAATCTTTAGTCTGCCTGAAAGGACCATATATCACAGGTCTGCATTTTCCATTCTGTGCAATTTACTACTGGATTAATACTTCTAAAAAATATCTCAAAGAATTCTGTACAAGGAAGGTCTTATGGCATGTTTTTGTCATGCCATGGCATGAATTTCTTTGTTAAACTTTTTATTCCTTTAACAGTGGCTCTCTTAAGAGAAGAAATCAGTAGTGTACGTATGTAGTCACTTCCTGAATATCCACTGTGGGAACTAGCTGCAGTGAGCCAATCACTGCTGAAGCTTCCAGAGCCCACCACACCCCCAGACTACTCTCTTCCTGGAACCAGTTCTCCATTTGGAAGCTGTCAAGATTAAGGATGGTAAGATGAGCATTACTTTCACAGAAATCTTGAATTCCTCTAAAATTTGGGGGCTTGGCGTAAGGGTTCACGTGTGCTGAGCCTTCTGGAAATGGTAGCTTAGTCCCTGGTTCACTGTGTCGATAACATGTTACCTGGACAGCATTTCTTGGGCAATAACCTGGCCAGAATTCTTTTGTTATGTTCACATTAGAACAGTTCTCCTCTTCTAGGTGAATCAGAGGGAAACTCTGTTAAGTCAGAGAGAACATTACCTGTTAAGTAAGTGAAAGAAGGATAAAGTGGAATTGAGTAATCATGTAAAATGTATTTCTTGCTGAGACTGAGGTGGTCATTATCCAAAAAGTTTGAAGTCACTCATCTCCAGGCTTTTGTTATTGGCCGTATGCTGCAGAGTGATCCTTTTCACCTATAAATCAAGTCACCTTGCTCTGTTCATAACTGTCCTTCAAGGCCCTGACACCTTTCAGACTATATCTCCCCTCCCATTTGTTCATTCTGCTAGTCATAGTGATCTCCTTTAACTATCTTGAATATGCTAAGAGGGTTCCCACTTGGAGATTTGACACTTGCTGCTCCTTCTGCTTAAAAATCTCATCAGCCTGCTCTGTCCATTGCTTGTGCCCTCACTTTGCTTAGGTCCCTGTTGTGAAGTTATCTTGATAAAGAAGGCCTTTATGGGCCACCCTGCTTAAACAAGTCTAGTCTTGACCAGAACACTCAAAGAAGTCTTGAATTCCTCTAAAATTTGGGGCTTGGAGTAAGGGTTCACGTGTGCTGAGCCTTCTGGAAATGGTAGCTCAGTCTCTGGTTCACTTTGTCAATAACATGTTACCTGGACAGCATTTCTTGGGCAATAACCTGGCCAGAGTTTGCCAAGCACCCCATCACTCTTTACCTAATATCCTATTTTTTCTTTATAATACTTAATACCACTGAGATATTAAACAATTTTTTTTTGTTTATTGTTTGTTTTCGTCCATCAGGGGGGACTTTTGTATTCTGTTGATGCATGAATAAATGAATACAGTCCTAGCAAGCAGGATGCAATAGTAAGAAGTTTAATGCAGTGACAAGTTCACAACACTATGCTTACCCTTCAGTGACTAGTGTATAGACTATGCTAAACATGGATTTTCAAGATCAATGAGTATTTTATAGGGTCTAAAATAATAATTGAGATGAACAATAAAGGGAACAAAAATTGTCCCAAAAAAGGCAGAAATCAAGGAATGAACTGCCTTATAATCGTTCTAAAAATGTATTTTCAATCGAGACAAACAATTGCAGATTTACAAGAAGTTATCTGTAAAGGCTCTTGGAGCCTGGGTACATTAGCATGAGACTGACAGTGACATAATGAAAAGTATTTAATTATATCTTAGGGACTAGAAAAGGTTACACAGGCTGAAATTCAAGAAGGTAACTATAAATAGTCTAAATAATGACATATACAATAAAATATATTTTTAAATGTTGTCCTGGGAATAAAAATATTCCAAAAGTTTGCCAATTATTTATATTAGCACACATAAATTTCAATGAAAATGATATTATCACACAAAACATAATTAAAAATAATCACTGACATAATCCATTTCTCCAAAGCCATATTTGTGACTTTAGCTATTCAGGAGCAACTCACAATGGGGGTGTACCCACCCCATGAAGGGGTGGCTTACGATCTGAAACACAAATGGGAACTGAGTCCACTCGGGCACAGCAAATCACTTTGAATGGGAGTATGCCAAGCACCCAGTTATTGGCTGTATGCTGCAGAGTGATCCTATCCTATCCTATCCTATCCTATCCTATCCTATCCTATCCTATCCTATCCTATCCTATCCTATCCTATCCTATCCTATCCTAAGTCATCTATCATTATCACCATCCTCACTTGCACCTCTGAATAAATTCTACAGAAAGATTAAATACACAGTTAATTTGCT